GTGAGCTCAAGCAATCGACTTGCCTCGGCCTCTCAGAGAGTTAGGAAATTTAACTTTTCAAATCATTTTCCTATATAAGATGTCACATGAAAACATGTTAAAATCAACAAGGCAGATATTATTATCTTGATATATAAGCAACTGAGGCCCAGAGATATTAAAAATTTCACACAGGGACACAGTACTCAAATCTCTCCACTCCCAGCTGGCACTTTATCTATAATATTCCTGCCTTGCCTTGGTGTTTGGTTACTCTAGAGTTAATCTGACAGGTTCAAATTTAAAGAAAAAGCCTATGGGAGTAGGATGGACAGGGTTTCTAAATGGGACATAAAAAAATTGATCAAATTCTGGGCAGCACCTGTGGCTCAAAGGAGTAGGGCACTGGCCCCATATACAGGAGGTCGTGGGTTCAAACCCAGCCCCATCTAAAAACTGCAAAAAAAAAAATTTTTTTTTGATCAAATTCAACCCTATTACGAACTTCTGTTCTTTTGGGTGGGGGGGGGCGGGACAAGTCTCACTATGTTGCCCTGGGTAGGGTGCCATGGCATCACAACTCACAGCAACCTCAAACTCTTGGGCTCAAGGGATCCTCTTGCCTCAGCCTCTCAAGTAGCTGGGACTACAGGCGCACCCACAATACCTACCCATTTTTAGAGCCAAGGTCTTGCTCTGGCTCAAGCTGTTCTCAAACCTATGAGCTTAGGCAATACACCTGCTTTGGCCTCCCAGAGTGCTAGGATTATAGGCATGAGCCGCCGCCCCGCTAAGAACGTCTGTTCATCAAAAGCTACTATTTAAGAGAGTAAAAAGGCAAAAGACAGAGTGAGAAAATATATTTGCAATACCTATATCCCATCAAAAATTTATATTAAGAAACTACAAAGAACTACTACAAAATAATAAAAAAGACTCACAAAAAAGTCTTTTTTTTCTATGCCTAAAATAGAAAATGGGCAAAGGACTGAATAGGCCCACCAGAAAAATGTCCAAATGACTAATGAGTGTATGAAAATACACTCATAATTAATTAACATAATCATCAGGGGAGTGTAAATTTGTATATTTAATGCCAACTATACAAATTCTCTATAACTCTATTCTTAAAAGTCAGTAATTCCACTCCTAGAATTCCACACACACAAAAAAGAGAGGTTACATTCACCAAAAATGCAGAATTGTACGATGACTATACAAGAATATCGATCAGTGGTAGTAGAATAGATTAAAATTATATAATTTATTTATATAATGACATGATACTAAAATACTATTAAATACAACAACATAAGTGAATCTCATAAAGTTGAACAGAAGAAGACAGACACAAAATAGTGCCTTTTTTCTAAAATTCAGAAACAGGCAAAACTAATGTATGGTGCTGGAGGTCAGAATGGTGGTCCCCTTTGGGGGTTATCTACTCGGAGCACGCAGGAAGCTTGACAGGGTGCCAGAAATGCTCCATCAATATCTTAACCTGGGTGGTGGGCACACGGGTATATACATATATGAGAAAAAGTAATTGAGAAACATATTTGAGATGTCTGTGCTTTGTTATGAATTATACAAGTAACAAAAGTAGGAAAAACAGAATTCAGAATCTTACCTTTGATGAGGTACGAGCACATTGTTAATTCCTCCAAGCTTTGCGTTGATCTTCAGGCAAAGGTTGGAAAGGGTTTGGGGTGAGGTCTTCACTACATTTTTTACCTGGACACACTGTGTGGCCATACCTAGAAGGGTATCTCCAACACGTTTCACCTCCGCTACAAAAATAAGTTAATTAATTAATTTCAAAAGGTTTTATAGGCAGGGCACAGTCGCTCACGCCTGTAATCCTAGCACTCTGGGGGGCCGAGGCAGGTGGACAGCTTGAGCTCCTGAGTTTGAGACCAGCCTGAGCAAAAGTGAGACTCCCATCTGTACTAAAAATAGAAAAACTGAGGCAAGAGGATCCCTTGAGCCCAAGAGTTGGAGGTTGCTGTAAGCTATGATGCCACAACACTCTACCCAGGGCAACAGCTTGAGACTCTGTCTCAAAAAAAAAAAAAAAAGGTTTTAAATAGCCTCCTAGTTACAAAGAGTAAAGGGGAGAAATGCACATTAACTTCACAGCGCAGCTACTACACACTGTACACTGCACTAGATGCTTCTCAGGTCCTTTTATCTGTTAAACCCTCAAGGGCAATTTTTTCTGCCTGTTTGGATAGGCCTGTCCCCTCCTGCTTTTTTCCCTTCCTGCAGGCCGTGAAGCCAGCTTGCTTCCTTTATTCTTTGGCGCTGCTGCCCCTGCTCACTCAGTCCCTTGAGGTTCCTCTCTCCACCCAACTGGTCTGGCAAAGGATTCAATCTCCCTAGCTCCTTCTTCTCAGTACACATACCAGCCTTCTGAATTTTAACCTCTCCCCTCCACACTTCTTTTTCTTTCTGTAAACACTGGGGGTAACTGTATATAGAGAGGGTTAATGACATTTTGTAAAGTTTAAACAGCTGGTTTGTATCTCCTGTATCCTTTACTTGGATGACAGCCAAACAAACTCTGTATGATTCTTCTTATAATAAATACAAATGAAGCAAATCCTCTTCTGGAAGTGGCAGCCTCCCCTACTCTTCCCTACTCTGACATTCCTAAAAGTTTTTTACTACTGAACATTCCAATTCTCATAGTTTCTGGGACTATGGCAGGATTACACTGCGTCTCCTGCTCCCATCTCCACTCTCCCCACACAGATTGGGTAAGGCCATCCAGTTGGTTGTGAGCATGAAGCTGCAGAGAGAAAAGATATGGGGCCATCAACATTCTACATAGTGTCTGCTCTGCCAGGCTGTGTCCCAAGAGTGGATGACATGATGACACAGAATAGAGGCTGCAGTCTCCCCTCAGTGGACCGCACACAGCAGGAGCAAGAAATAAATCTTAGTTATTCTGAACCAAAGATTTGGTGGTGTTTGCGACTGCAGCATGACCTAGCTTATCCTGACTCTTATATCTAATACTTGAAGTCAAGCGTCCATACCATATACAGGTGTCTTTCCAGGCAAGATAACCACTATTAGCTGTAGGCCCACATATGTCATTTTCAGATGCTTAAACATGGGCTCCACGCTATCTGCACCTTGTGCGTACTTGCAGAAACATGGCTGACCCTGGATGGGCATTCCCGCATCCTTAGAGATTTTACGCAGCTGGTCAGTGAAACTCCTGTTAAAACAGAAACAATGGCACAGTGTTTTTATTTCAGAGTACATTCTTAGCGTTAATGTCTTTCTAATATACTTATTTCAGTCTTATAAATTCTTAGTCAAAATTAGAAACAAACAAAGAAGAGAAACCCTTTAACTCGTTCCCCCAAGTAAACTGACAATTGTATCTCTGTAATTATAACAGAGGAGAATCTGTATTATTAAACTATCAAATTGCTTTGAACTTCTAAGTAATTCTAAATAAGTTCCTGCATCCCAGGAACTAGAATAGCATGCCTCTTCAAAGATCTTTTTCTTTTTCTTTTTTCTTTTTTTTTTTTTGAGACAGAGCCTCAAGCTGTCCCCCTGGGTAGAGTGCCGTGGCATTACAGCTCACAGCAACCTCCAACTCCTGGGCTCAAGCGAGTCTCCTGCCTCAGCCTCCCAAGTAGCTGGGACTACAGGCGCCCGCCACAACGCCCGGCTATTTTTTGGTTGCAGCCGTCATTGTTGTTTGGCGGGTCCGGGCTGGGGATTCGAACTCGCCACCTTAGGTGTACATGGCTGGCGCCTTAGCCGGTTGAGCCACAGGCGCCGAGCCCAAAGATCTTTTTCAAGCATTCAAATCCTTAATTCTAGACTGAAGAAGAAAAGCAGGGTCAAAATTTCAGGTAACGTGCATTTTGGTAAATCTGGTGTAGGAAAAGTTGGATAAGCTTGTGCTCAACTGAGACCACAGAAACACGCTGTTACAAAATCAGTATATTTAGGATTACATTCAAACGTGTGACAGATTTGGTTTGATAACAACGTCAAAAAGAAATCACTTCAAAAAAGCAAAGTTCATTTTGAAGTTTTAAATTTTAGATTTACGTTGTTATTTCAATCTATGTACAAAGCTTTCGGATTAATTCCTTTTGTGCATTTGCCAATATTTTGTAGGATTACTTTCTTTCATCCCAGTTCTCTTTTCTTGATTTTCCTCCACCCTTCTCACTAACTGCCATTATACAGACACAGCTGTAAGATGTAAACCATACTCTCACCAGCTCACTCATCAATTATGACCCAAAATAAGCTTGTTTCTATCTTAGCTGGAAAGATACAATTAATACCAAAGGAAGCTTCACTAAGAACTCAAGAATTCACCAATCAGCATTGCTACAGCCTTGTTAGTCAGAAATTTCTGCTCCAAATGTAAAGAAGCTGAGTCAGATTCTTAATGTAATTCCAAGTTTGCAATTTACTGCACTATAAGGTCTTTTCCATATAGCCAGATGGTGTCACTATAGGAGTCAAGGATTTAGTGCCAATGTACACGGCACATTCACATAAAGATGGTCTTTTCGTATCTGGAAGGGATATTACTGAGCTGAAAACATTCAGATACTTACTTTAGTAAATCTTCCCTACATTGTTTCTGAGGTGCAAAACAAGCAACTGCCCAAACTTTAACTTCAATGCCGGCATAAAACTGCTTTCCTCGCATGTCCCAGACACCCTGGTTGGGTGTGGCCACTGTTTTATTCTTAAGAAGAAGAAAGAAAAGAAAAGAGAAAACTATTACAATCTAAGGCCATTTTAATGTTGATAAAGGAATAAACAGAATTCTATCTGGTTTGAGCCAAAAGACAAAGGGCAATAATGAGCAAAACTAGGGGTAAATTTAGTGTGGTGCAGCAAAATAGCCCTGCGTTATTCTTTTTGAGTGATGGTGGGAGAAGCTTGCGGAATAATATAAAAAGCTTACCCGGCCTCCGTATTGCAGCATTGGTGCTGGAAGTACTCTGCCCGTGAGCTCCGTCATTTCATTGTGCACGACAATGCCGAATTCTTTAAGGTATGGATCAGGTCCACCCACCATGCTGTTGCTCTTCACCTAAAGAACAGGAAAGCCTGCATATATAAAAACCAAAGACTAACTGTGTCCCATCAGGAGTTTTCTTTTCTTTTTCTTTTTTTTTTT